TTACCGTTCTGATGCCGTTCTTCCGTAGAGGTGTCAGTCTGATGTTTGGGGATGTCTTCTTGATTGGCACAGCTACATTTACGATTTCCGAGAGTTTGATTTTCTACTTTCATATATTTGTTTTATCGTGGGCTTCAAACCATACGGCCAAAATTGAATTTCATAATCGACAACTTTTAAAGCTATTTCGTACTTTCTGTTTTATCTGCATCATTTGCATACAAAAAAGCCCGTGTAGTTTGTCTTTTGTCGTCTCTATCCAATGAAGGCATTTTTTTGAAACCATATAATTTTGCAGTGTTTAACATGCGGCTAGCTGCCCTGTCACAGTTTTTTCCTTATCCAGGAAAGCTGCATGGAACACAGTTTGTTTTTCATATTTCTCCACCACCTTTCATGCTATAATTTACGGTGGTAGCGGCACTAAAAATCCGCACTATTTGGGTGACAACCGTATGATCGCCTAGAGTCTTATCTAAATTTTACTTTTAAACGCCTTTAATTGTGCTTTATCATGGGATTGACTGTTGTTGTTTAGTCTGTATACCTTTTCATAATTGTTATGATTTTCGCCGCGTGCGCTGATGAGGTGTGCTCTCAGCTGCGACAGCAAGGAAAGTGCCCTCTACATTTCTTCTAATCTCAACTGCAATGTCATTTGGACCAGGGCCTTACAGTTTCTTGTTTATTTTATCACAGACCTCCTTACTCCGCTGTAAATTGTCTTTTCATAGGGAGATGATGAGATGGCCGTACCAGTGTTGGTTACGATGTTTCTTTGGAGTGCATTTGTTAAATCTCGGTTATCTCCTGTGGCCTTCCAATGTAAATCCTGTGTTGGAATAGCAAGGTTCGAGATTTTTTGTGGCTTCGCTCACCTCTCCGCAATCAACCCTGTAATTTCTTGCTTTCTCTAAAAAGATTCCAACTTTTAGTATAGCTCTCCCACTCTTGTTTTCTTCCTGCTACTGTAATATGGTGTGTCAATCCGAGAAGGCTTAGCTTTTATTTGAAACTGTACACTGAACATTTGCAGGTGAAAAAGGTGTTTCGATCGATTTCATCCGATCATGTTATACAGCTGACCCAGAATCCAAGGTTAAAAGATTTTATGACTAAACTAGGAATTATAATATTGGGTTTATCAAGCCAGTTTACTGGAATGGGCTATGGTGGAATACCAATGCCGATGGATTATGGCGGGATGCCTATGCAGATGAATGCTAATGCCCAGCCAATGAATGCTAACGCTAGGTTACAGAGTAATGCCACTCCCAATCCTAATATCAACCAACAGCCTATGAATCCTGGAATGTACAATACTCAGTATCCTCCTCAACCTCATTACAATCCCTATACGCAGCCGCCCTTCTATAATATGGGTGCAACAACCTTATTTTAATATAATAATCGTTAACACTAGCGCTTAAAGTGGAGTCGAAACTATGAGAGCTCAGCTGGCTATCATTCAAGTATAGGCGCCTGGCTTGCTCCGGATGTATAATTATCTGAAAAACAAGAAACTGAAATGGTAAGTAAAGTTTGACATGTACTTGTAACAAGTGATGGTTATTATCTACAAAAAGCTCACTTTTCCACGAGGCGCACGATTTTTGTACGGTTTTCTAGCTTTTTCTAGAAGAGCAGTAATGTCCTCATCCGAATCTTCGAATCC